CTTGGCTTTCGGAAAATACCTTCTAATGTGGAATATTGTTAATCCTAATAGATTATCCGTATTCCGGATAGTGTTTATCTGGGTAGGCCAAGTAGTTCAAGGCTTTCCTCTTGACCAGTTCATTCATCACATGGTCCATCCCCACCATCATTTGTCAATTGCAGTTCTCTGCCGGTAACAAAACATCACCCAATACAAAAAAAAGTACTGGCAAACAGACCGCAAACTTTTGAATAAACGCATTTAGATCTCTTTGTTCTAACTTGGAGTTCGCTGCCCCCTCCAAAAATTCTCTGCCATTGCACAAAAACAATGCAGTTCGGTTTCGGGTTGTTCTCCTTTTTTATGACTTCGGACCCAGTTGATTATTGTGCAAATAAAAATTCTAATGACGATTTCGGCAACAACAATGCAATTATGCAAAGCCAGAAGAGGAAGGTAATTAAAGGCAGAACAGCAAATGCGGCCGAAGTCGGAGGAATGATAATTATCACGGCGCTGCCATCAACAATGAATATGCTAAGCAGTCCAAGTTTCAAGTCGAACGGAGGAGAACATCCTATGGAGCCATGCCGCATGGCACATGCCACATCCGCCAGAAGCCGAAAAGGCTGAAAAAACACCGCCATGATCTATCATCATCACCGGGCCAGTCTTTGTCTCGGATTTGCGCAACTCCACCCCTTCCTTCCAAGGCACTCTCCAAATACCCAAATACCATACATCATCTACATAAGCTATAAGCTGAAAGCTAAAAGGTTTCACTCCACCACAAATTGTGGCAAATTGTCGATGGGTTTTGTTTTGTAATCAAACCGATGCCGAAGCTCCTCCATTGAATTGTTTTTCTTAGCCCAACGGAGTGCAGAATCTGCCCCATATGGGTCAAAAGCGAATTTGCCTTTGTTTTGCCAAATTGTTTTGTCACTTTCGGATTAGTTGAGTGCATTTGGCCGCAGTTAGGTTACCCAATGTTGATTGATATTTTCACTCCCTTTTTCGCTTACTTGCCAGTCATTCTTTCAAGCGACTTTTAGGTAACTTGATTTCAAGAAATTTGGTACCTTTATTCGAAGACATTTGCCAAATTTTATGCACGTGACAGATTTGAGTTTGAGGAATTACGAAAATATATTTAAAGTAGGTTACAAAGTGGTTGATATAAAAGCATTATATGTTTTATGATTTTATAGTTTTAATGAACTGTATTCCAAAAAACAAGTAATAAATCGATTTAAATGTTACATTTATCTAAATTTTAGATTAAGATTTTAAAAATGTTTCCGTATTATTTCAAAACCTAATTTAACTATTATTAATAATAAATTTACAAAAAAAAATATATTGACTGATCTTTTGATAAATGGCTGACAAACAGCAATTTTATAATTTATTTCCAAAAGAACAAAGTGATTTTACAGAACATTAAACATTTAGGATTTTGGCTCAAAGTTGCTCCATCTATTTCTGCGACTTTCAATACCATTATGATATACAACTGCAATTAGTCTTGACCAAAAAATGTGTCAAGAAAATGCCAAGAAATACTGATTGAATTGCCATTTGATGTCCATACAAATTATGCACCAGCAAAGTGACAAGAAATACTCAAAATTTAGCTCGCAACAGACCGAAAAGAAGCTGAAATAGGAAACAAATTACAACAACGATGGCAAATGCTGTTGCAGATGATTGAAATTAATGGCAGATCCATTCAAAAATATAAAAGAAACTGACTAGAAGGCCAAAAGCATCTGAACCCTGCCTGATCGGATTGCAAAGTTCACAGTGGATGATGATGGGGCTGATAGACAGCGCTTTAGGGGAAATTTCATACAGAAAATGCCATGAATAAAACGAGAGGAGAGGAGAGGAGATTACATTGCCCAGATACCGGAGTACTTATGAAGGAGCACTGCCAAATGCCAGTGGAAACATAACGAGGTGCGAACAGGGTCAGCTCTGGTAGCCTTTAGCTAGTTGAACTCAATCGAACGGCTAGTTGGCCAACGGAATCTGGTCCGCAGCAGGTAGGAAAATTGTCAGCAAAGTGCTAAAGCTGGCTCGTAAGCTTAGAATCCGAAAAAAAATTGTATATGTATGTGAAGATCTAAATAATAGATCGATGGAATTTTTAAAAGAATGTCTACACTTGTCTTTTCATTTTGGAATCAATTGTATTATTTTAATATTTAAAATATAATATATTTAATATTGTAGATTATATTCACGTACACAAATTAAGCTTTAGACAAAAGCAAACGACAAACTCATCTTCTCCTTGAGCTCCTAACGAAAGATAACCATCTCAAGGCATTTTCTTTGGACATTCAACAATTGTTGAATAATCAGCATACGTCATGTGGTCCGTTGCCTCAGCTTGCAATTCAAGTTGCTCGTGTAGCTTTTAGCTTTTCCTTTATTTGTATTTTTTGTGGTATTTGCCGGCTACCATTTAAATTGATTTTCGCCTTTATGCCTCGAAATTGGAGTAAAATTGGAGGCAAGGTCAGGCGCGCTGCTCGATGGCTTCGCTGGCCATCTGCACAAAGTCGATGATCGTGGAGCGAGGATGACGACGTGGACGTCTCACTCTCAGAACAAACAAGTTGTAATTGGGTCGACTTTTGTGTACTCGAGTAATCATAAACAACGACGGCACGAGAAGGCAAAGGCCTTACAAAATGGCCAAGTCATAAAAAACCTTTATCAAACGCTTCGCTGATCCGACAACTTCAATGATGTTTTTCTGTTTTCTGTTGTCTGTGGGCTGTTATTTCCCCCATTTGTGTTTCGTGTGAACTGAGGAAGGACGACCTTTGGCTAGACTCTGATTTGAAGATGACACCTTCGGTCGGAGTTATCCATTTCGTGATGTTATTGGGAATGACTCAGCCAGGTTTTTGTTTCGTTACCGATGGAATTGATTTTGATTTCTGTTTTTTATTTGAAGCCCGAGCTGCAATTTGCCTCTAAACGTGTTTGGCATTTGTTTATTTTAGCTTAATATTCAGTCGTTTTTAGCAATGATCATAAATTGTTATTGTTCCACTGGCGTGAGACTATTTGGTGTAAATATATTAGCCAATAAAAAAGATGGATGGTGGATTTTAAAAATTCTAGCTAAAAAATGTTAGATTTTTGGTTTATGTGGTATTCAAATCTTGAATATATTACAAATTAAAGGAAGTATAAATCCCTTATAAATATTTGTTCCTACTTTTTTTAAAAATAAAATTTAATCACGTTTAAAAACTATTCTTTATTTATTTCTGAAGGTTTTTTTTTTGTTTATTTAGCTTTTCTTAAAGCTATCTCCAAATTTATTGTTTGCAATAAGAGTTTCATATAAATAGTATTCGATATTTTTTCGAGCTGTGGTATTTTTTAGAATTTTATGACAAAGCTGACACATCTGCATTCTACATAATTGTGAGACAAAGGCGCAGTCACACTTACAGAGTGTATAAACCTATAAAAAGGGGAAAAACAAGCTTGTCCGTTTAGTTCGAAGCATGGCAAATTCTACGCAAATCATGAGCTTCGAGGGGAATGTGAAGATTATTTCGGATAAACTAAACATAATAAAAGAACACAAAGTTTGTTTTGTCGAAGACACATCCGATGCTCTTATTAATGCATTTAAACAGTGGAGCCCCACATTTTGCGCTATCTATTCCAGACACGAACTCGGTCGTAAGTAATTTAAAAAACAAAAACTCGAAGACTAAAACCATATGTATCTTTATTTGTAGGAGATCCTTTGAATAACAACAATTATGCGAATAATACTGAAAATTCCACAAGCCACTCCGATATGGAACAAGAATGGATCTATCTTTCTAAATGTACCCAACGTCCCAGATTCTTATAGGCAGATCGTATCCAGTGACGGCTTTATACGGCGAAGAGATTTAAACAACTTTTTGGACAGTGTTTACAATAAATGGAATACATCATCAATTTTAGTCAATGGATGTAGCCATTATTCTGTCTATGAAAAAGCACAAAGCCGAATTGGAAACACACATGTTACCCAATCGTATATTCCTAAAGTCGTATTAGAATTCCCGTGGTCTCTACAGCCCGCCGTCTCTTCTGAAGTGTGTAACAAATGGATGTGTCACGCCTATATGAGTGAGGAAGTAAGCTCCATTGATGATCTCGCATTTACATTTATTCCCTACAATTGGGAGAGCGAAATAACGAAAGACACGCCCAATTTCTTCAAGATAAAGAGCCTTATGTGTAGATTATGCGAGGAGCAAGACATCCCCATATATTTAATATCAAACGTCCTACTCCTTCAACAATATAATGTAAATTGGCAAAGGGACTTGGGCAGTCTTTTGGCAGAAATGTGGACGCGCTTTGTAGACCATCTCCGGGCTGGGCGACTTGATTTTCCTTTTGCCTATGGAAGTAACAGCCTTGAAAGTTTTGAGACCGAAAAACTCCGACAACTTCAAACTACCGCTCAAGACATACTTTTCAAGCTTCTCGAAGCTCAATACAGCGGCAGATATACTGAATTGGCAGAAATATTTGGCTTAAACTAATATCTCATTAATAATGATGATCATTTTTTAAACTGTTTTATTAAGCGCTCAACATAAATACATTTTTGTAGAAAATTTGTAATGGAAAAAAAGCTCATCTCGTTTTTATGTATGTATACATATGTTTACAATATCAAACAAACCGAAAACTGCGTTAGTCGGCAAATCTTGTGTTTATGAAATATGATCGCGACACATATATACATACCTACTTCATTTAAAATTATTTCTGCTGATCAAGAATATACATATGTACTTTAAAATTGAAATAAAATGTGTCTTTATTTTTACCTTCTGTTTAACAAATAATGTAATTACTCATAAACTAAGTGAATAAAATTTGTATGCATACAAATTTTGAAATGAATGAAAACACCTTTTAATAAACAATATTTTTCTAATTAAAAATAATTTTAAAACAAAACTAAACATCATAATTTTATAGATTATTAATTTACATTTATTTATCATACTTAAAAAATAAAGAAAACAAATGTTATTGAATGGCATCACATATCTTCAAATTCATGGAGCTATTAAATTAGGTAAACGGGGCATCATATATTTCATAGAACCCCCACAGTTATCCATCCAAATATCACGGTTAGGTACGCCTTTTAATGATGGCCATGTTGGCCAGTTGCAGGATGCGATTGAAATCGACCTTGACGTGGGCGCGCCAGAACTTGCAGCGTCCCCAGATGACGGCGGGATAGTTGGGGCTCATGATGCCGTGAAAGATGCGGGCAATATTCCGTCCGCTAAACGTGTTGTCCGGATACATGTTGATCAGGGCATGCACGTCGTCTGTGATGTGCTCATCCGGCACGTTGCTGGGCTGAAAGACAGCGAAAATACGATAACGTATTACAAATAAAACAGTATTTAAAATATCTCCAAGCAATTACCTCTACTTCCAGCTCCAGATCCTGCGGATAGTCATTGGCAAAGTAGTTGCGCACGATAGCCTTTAGCTGCTCGCCGCGATCGTGCGGGAAATCCGCATTGCAGCACTGGCCGCAGGAGCTGTAGGACACAGCCGCCAGTCCATGGGCCACATATTGCAGCTGGATGAGCTGTGTGCGCTCCTGTTTCACGGATCGCGTGTAGAGAGTGTCCAGGGCGCCGTCGATCTCCGATTCAGTAAAGTCGCCCGGCACCTTGATGCGGAATCCCAAGTCGAAGAAGCTCACCGTGATGGGCGATCGCTTTGGAAATCCATTTACTAACAAAAGATTGCAGTTAAAAATTTATAAAGACCTTGGAGATTGGAGAACCCTCTCACCTTTCACCCACTCCAGGTCCTTCAGTTGGTACTTCACCACGCCGCTGTTCCAGCCAATTCCAGCCGCAATGTCTGTGACTGAGAACTCTATGATATTTGAGTCCTCCTTGAAGGTTTTGTTCCTGATCTGCAAGGCAATGGCCATGGCCAAGGGTGGACATTCTTTTGCAGCATGCCTGTGAATAAGGAAAGTGAGTTATAAATTTGATTTATTAAATTACTTTCAAGAAACTCACTTCAGGTACTTGGGTCCGCCGTAGGAGATCACCTTGGCCATTACATATGCCGAGCTGAGTACACTGATGCACCAGCGGGGATCCAGCTCCATGTAGCAGAGCAGCGTGGATATGTTCTCCGCCGGGATGTCCAGCATCTCAACAGTTTTCTCCACCGAAAAGCCGATCTCGTGGCCCGGACACACATGAGCCCGCGGACCATCGCCCTCGAGGGCAATCGGCGGAGGAGCCGCTCCCTTCGAAGCCTCCTTATCGCAGCTACAGGGCACGAAAATCTTCTGCAGCAGCTTGCGGATCACATGTCGATCAATCGAATTGGCATACACATGCCGGCGCAGCTCACTCTGATCGCCACCCTTGGCGTCCAAGAAGAGGTGACAGTGGGAGGGCAAACCATCGCGTCCTGCTCGTCCAATTTCCTGGACGTAGCTCTCAAAGTTTCGCGGCATATTGTAGTGGATCACGGCGCGTATATCGGGCTTATTGATGCCCATGCCGAAGGCAATGGTGGCCACCACAATGCGCAGCTCGTTGCCCATGAAGGCCTTCTGGACGGTGCGTCGCCGGGAGGCGGGCATTCCGGCATGGTAGGGCTCCGCCTGCCAGTTCACCCGCTTGCGCTTCTTCCCCTGATCCTGAACCGGCTGCCGGCGGTCCTGAACAGTGGTCCTAATGAAGCCAGCGATTCGCTCGCACTCGTCGCGCCGCGTGCAGTAGATAATAATGGATTGGCAGGGCTCAAAGCTGAAAGTAGGGAATATATATAAAATCTACTGGCTTTGCTAAGTTAATTACTATTCACCGTTCGCTATTGAGTAGCTGGAGCAGCGCCGCATCCCGGTTGTGATCCTTGGAGACGGACAGCACCAGATTGTCTGGCAGTGGGATATCGCTAATGACGCCACGCTCTCCGTCCGCAATTCCCAGGTGATTGATGATGCTCACCCGCGTGGGCAAAGTTGCCGTAGCCGTGAGTCCAAGGACCGTGTGCACGCCGAGATTCTTTCGCAGCACCTTGCAGATCATCAGGTAGCTGGGCCGAAAGTTGTGGCTCCACTGGGACACGCAATGCGCCTCGTCAATGCAGGCGAACGCAATGGGCGGCAGTTGACGGAGGATAGCTCCGAATCCGGTGGCCCTTTCCCCGGCCACCACTGCTTCCGGAGAGACCAAAAGTATATCAATCTCCCCATTGGCAATCATCTGCTGGATCTTCATTCGCTGCGGCGCCGTCTGGTTGGTGTGCAGACAGTGGGCGCGCAGGAAGTGCGGCACTCCGGTAACTTGATCCTCCATGAGCGAGACGAGAGGTGAGATGACCAGCGTAATGGCCCCCATCTTTCGACTATACAAATAGGCGGGCAATTGGTAGCACAGGGACTTACCGCTGCCCGTGCTGAGGGTAACCAGCGAGGAGAGTCCCGAAAGAGTGCGCATGATGGCCCGATCTTGACCTGATAATTAATATAAGCTATTATATATTATCTCTCTTAAGGGGGGTCTAGGGTCTTTGGCATCAAAAAATCAAGTAACTTTGCGATTTTTTCTATAAAAACTGGTTGGATGCATTTAATTTAAACCTTTTGTATATTATTAGGTGTCATTTAAATAACATCCACAATTTTTTATAGCCAATACAATCGGCTAATATATCGGTGGCAAAGCGATTGCTGGAACACTATTAAAAAAGGCGTTTTACGGTGTTTACGTCCTCCGCTAAAATGATCGGATTGCCATTGGGTTTTTACATTTCGCTTAAGAATTAAATATTGCCGACAATTTTTTCGATATTCCAAAGTCAAAATGCGTTTTTGCAAAAATATTTGACTTTCGGTTAAAAAAAATATTTAAAGTTCAAAAATAAAAAAAAATCGCGTTTTTTATGCAGAAAAATATGCGACAAATTTGAAAACGATCGGTTAAGCCGTTTAGAAATTCCGATGAATACGGACTTTCAAAACGTGGTTTCGAGAAAAACGAACTTATGTACCTAAAGTTTCAGAGGTTGGGGTACTAATTTTGGCATAACTTCTAAAGTTTTTGTCCGATTGACTTAAAACTTTTTTTGTATAATCTTAAGATGTTAATCTACAAGAAAAAAAAAAATTTAAAAAAATCTACTTTTTTTTGCAAGATTCTACCCCTCCTAAGGTAAAGTTTATGTCTTACCCTTTCTGAAATTACTGTGTCCAAACATGTGCAGTGCCTCCAGCACCTCGGGTGTGGTGTCCTGGACACTCCCGTCCGGCAGGAGGTCGTACAGGGGCTTCACCCCGCCGTGGTGGCTGCGATTTGAAGTGGAGGCGCTGGTGTCTAGGCCAGCCTGCTTGAGGAACTCCTCGGGAATCTTGTGGCCAACGTATTTTTTGATGGGAGAAACTGGTTTATCCTGGGAGATCGGCTGACTTAGCGAGGATTCCACGGCTGCATCCAGGGCCTCGAAGTCGATGTCCATCTCATCGCCCGACCAATCGGGCTCCTCATACGGTTTTCCCTCCTCATCACCGCTGCTCTCTTCGATCTCCTCCTCCGATTCATCCGATTCCTCGCCCTGCAAAAGGGCTGCATTGGCAGCCTCCGGTAATCTTGAGATGTTGCGACTGTGAGCCACCACTGCTCCCTGGCTGGCCATCTCCTGGACCTCGGCGAGCGTGGGAAATGGCGAGGGATCCTCCTCCAGCTGGGCGGATAGAGGCAGTAAGCTGTCGCCCTTCACTTTGCACTGCTGCGCGAAGTGACCAACTCCGCCGCACTGGAAACATGTGAGCACCACGCCATCGCAGCCACCCATGTCCATATCCGGTCCACTCAGAGCAGCCACTCGCTTCTTGTGGCGCCACTGCTGCTTCTTGTATTTGCTGAAGTTCACCGTCTTCTTGCCGCGCACGAACTTTTTCTTTTGAATGTTGATGGTCACAAAGTTCTCGTTCAGTTTTCCGGCGGCTATGCGCTCCTCCATTTTCTTACGAGCAGCAGCTCGCTTTTCATCTACACGTATATTGGAAAATTCTGTTTTGGGCAGCGCAGCAAAGGTGCTAATGTAGCGCTGAGCGGTGGCATCGGCTTGCTCCAGATCCTGCTGATTTATGCGCGGCACGGAGGTGATGTCACCTGCCTCCAGAGCCAAAACATACTTTAGATCTTCGGGATTCAAGGGCTGGCTCTGCTCTTCTTCCTGCTGAAGTTCAGGTTCAGGTTTCTTGGCGTTCTTTGGCTTCTTCTCCGCCTTGGGCTTCTTTTCGGCCTTGATCTTGGGCTTCTTTTCAGCTTTTGGTTTGGGTTCCGCTTTGGGTTTGGCGGTCTTTCGTTTTCCCGCCGCTTGCTTGCGCTTTGCTTTATCCTTTTTCCCCTTTCTCGGGTTCATAGGTGGCATCCTGCTCTTCGTCGGCAGAGAAATCCTTGCCGTACTCATCCTCTGGATCTTCGGCAGTCAAAGTTTCCGCTTCCGGTTCATTTTTAGTGGGTATTTCAGCTACTTCATTTGAACCTGAAGCAGTTGGGCATAATCCTGCGGCGTTTGGCCAGCTGTCGGTATTCCTGGGGCTCCGGTTCCTCCTCGCTTTCAGCCACCACAGAGTCGGAATCGGAATCAGAATTGCTTTCCTGCTCTTTAGGTTGTGTTTTGGGTTTGGTAGCAGGCGATTTTTGGCGGGATGTGGAAGGATCCTCACTTGGTAGATCCGTTTTCTCATTTATGACAGAACTATTAGCTGCCATCGGTTCTATTTTAACCTGCGCTGGTTGCTCCTCCTTAATAGAAGGCTTCAATTTGCTTAAATCAAGATTGGTCAGTCCAAAGTTCGTTTTCTTTGGAGGATTAGTACTATTATTTGTTTCCGCAAAGGGCGTCTCCGCCTCCAGAGTATTCTCCTTGGTATTTCGCTGCAACCAGCCGTCGTCCACCTGGGTTTTAATGTGATCCTTGCTGAGATCGCCGGCCAGCAGCGAATTGTTGGCCAGGGCCAGCTCCTTTTCCTTGTACTCCTGAGCCTTGCGTATGAGGATGGTCTCAAAATCGGGCAGTTCCTCTACCGGATCGGCGGAAACTGTGCTCAGCGAACTGGTGGAACTGGAGGCGTTGATGGAAGAGTTGGACAAAGGCTTTCGGGGATTTCGCTTGGCAAATCCGCGCGTGGACTGGAATAACTTGGCACTCAAACTGGGCTTAAGACTGGCCAGTGGTTTTAGCTGCTTTGCCCTGCAAAGGAGCGGACATGGAAGCTCCCAATGGCTGTGGTGGAGCTGCTGGCTTCTTGCTTACATCCAAGCCCCAGGCATTCCGGTTAAGGGGCAGCTCCTCCACGGCCTCGAAACTACGGATCACATGGTTCTCATCGCGATTCACCAGATTGGTGAGCACTTGACGATTGGGCAGGTCCTGGAGATTGGAAAACGAGCTCTCCTCCTGCAGATTGCCGGAGCTCTGTGGCTCCACCAGAGCGGATATATTCAGCGGCAACTGGGGTCCTCCATTCAGACTGAGGTCCTGATCCAGCATGCTCACACCCAGTTCGCTGGTCTGCGACATCTCCAGGATATCGAAGCCATCCTCGCTGAGCACATCGTTAAGGGTCTCCTCCAGAAAGGATGTCTTCAGCTTGTAGTACATTTTGTACGAGTCGCGAATCTCCTGGCTGGCCTCCCTAATATCATACTGTCCCAATAGATCGAACAGTTAGCATATCTTTAACTATATTATATAAATTATTATATTCCCACCTTTGATGGAACACGACCATTCTTCTTCTTGAAGTCCTTCTCCCACAATTTGACGCGCAGCTTGTACTTCTGGTATTTCAGCTTAAACACCGAATCATCCATATCTTGGGCCGTCTTATATTGTTATTAATATTAAAAAACAAACATTTGGAACAAGATCTTTAGCGACAAGTAAACCAACACAAGTGCAGCTGTTTTCGCTGAGCGCGCGCTTTTTTGCCGGCCTTGCCAGACCAATGCCGATGTAGAGAGTGGCCAGACCATCGCAATAATGGACAGTGGGAAAAATATCGTTTAACGGATTTAAATGTGAAACCATTTTTTAAATGAATATTAAAAAATTCAACAAAGGGCTTTGATATATAATTAAAAATCAAGTTCCAATATTAAATACCGTGATTCGGAAAAATTCGGTATAAGAAACTTTAATAACAGTTTTTACAAGCGTTTCTTTTCATTAGAACGTAAAATATCTTAAAAAAAAACAGAAATATGAGACAAGATTGTTAAATTTTTATCTGATTTGGATTGTATTTTAATAAGGTTCTTTTTTTTGTGGTACATCCCTTTTGCATGGACTAAAAATAATATTTATTTTTGAATTTTTTTTTGGAGTTATTTGAAAACAATTTTGAAAATTAAATTTTAAATTATTGAATTGGGAGTTTAATTACGAGGACAACGACAAAATTTTTCCGTTGTTTTTAAGTTTTAATGTAAACCTAGAAAAGTAGGGACAACTAGAGTTTAAAACCTCCTTTTAGTAATAAAACTCGAAAGCAAATAAAAATTCTATAGATATTGCTGCGCATTTTATTCAATTTGTGTTCGTTTTTGTAGTAAAAAATATCCAAGCTTGGCCGTTGCAAAATGCAGTTTTCACAATGATGCTAGGTGGAAGTGGTGGAAATGACTCGCGGAGGGCTTCCCTCGCTGGAATAACTGAAGATTACGGGTAATAGCTACGTGGATAGGATAGGATAGCCAAGCAAAGCGGCCGCACGGGACTTCCAGCGGGTTGGACAAAGCGGAGCAGGGAGAGGCGGTGGCGAAAGGCAGGGCGAGAATGTAAACATAGATGTTGCGGGGGTGCCTACATGAGTATCAGGGCGATCTCCTCCGGCTGCATCGATGGACAGCGCCAGTTGTACAGGTAGTACTGCAGGTTGCCATCCCCAGCACCAAACTTCAGCGGAGCAAAGTACTTCTTATTCTCCATGAGGTCGAGGGCATTGTACACGTCCATCTGGACATTGCGGGCCGAGATCAAAGCGTCGTTCATCAAATCGAGCCACGGTGTCTTCGTGGACACGTTATAAAACGAATAGGCGGCGCGAACGGTCTTGTGCACCGGATGGTGCATCACCGACGATGGCAGGCAGTAGTAGCTGGTCAGATCGGTGATGTTGCCCTTCTCGTCGGCCACAACGAAGCAGTCGATGATGCCCTCCTTGGGGGTGAACCAGTGGCGGAACTCCTCCTTGCTGAACACCGGGCTCAGCTGAAACCGCTTGAGGTAATCCTCCAGCAGCTTGTGCGCCTTGTCCATGTCCTTCGCCGTAATCCGGCGATAGCCCTTCGTCTTGGGCTGATCGGGCAGTTTGTACAGCTTCATGGTGCGCTGCATGGTCATGTTCCGCGCGAGATGCGAGAAGCGCACGTCCACCAGCTTCTTGGGATTGAGGGAGCGGTGCCAGTAGCGACAGGTGGCCACCGGCGTGGGCAGCACAACGCCGGCCGTGTAGGCTGCCTGAAATATCCCTGTCAGGTTGACGCGACGCGTGATCTCACGGATCAAAACTGGAGCCACTCGCTTGCTGCGCAACTTCTTGTGGACGCACAGGAAATTGATGTCCACCACCTTGAGCACCTTGTCGTAGGACTTTAGCTTGCTGGGAATGGCCGAGATAAAGCCGACCAGCTTGCCGGACTTCTCCACCCGCACGCCGACATGCCAATCGCGTTTCCAGCCCGGCGGCTGCAGCGACCACTTGAGGAACTCGGGCTGGTAGTCGAAACGGAACATGGCATCGTCGTCCTCCACGTAGTTCTCGTTGAGCAGCGTGTACAGCTCCTTGAGATCATTGGCGTCGGTCAGGTCGAGCGTCACCCACTTGAAGCCGCCGGGCAGAGTGTAGGGCTCCGCCCGAATCTCGCTGACCTCCTTGTTCGGTTCGATGCACTCGTTGGTGGTCACCTGCTCGTCCAGCTTGGTGACTGGCTGTGTGGACCAGAAGGCGAATTTCTTGGCCATCTGACGGGTGCTGGCCATCGCCTCGGATACGACCTGTAGCAAGGCCTGCTTGCCTGGAAAAGAAGCGGAGTATCGATTTTAGTACGCCGTTATGCTGCTCCTCCTCCAAATATAGATTGTTTTTTCACTCGAATGGGAAATCTGACGCATGGAAAATGAAGGCAACATGAACTAGTTTCGAGTGATTAACAATTTACAGCGGGCTGCCCAAATGGGGGGTTTATTAAACAGTGTTTACGCATAAATCAACACGATATCATGAAATCAACAAATAGTAATAGTAAATTTAAAAAATTCTAGAATTTATAATATGAATATTATTTTTTTCATGACTTAATATTTAGCGAGAACGCTAAGTAAATGTAAAAAATTATGATTTTTTCAAGCTTATCTTGATAATATTCTTTAAAAGGTAAATGAAATGTTTAAATAACTTAAAATTACGTAAGCAATTATCTGAAGAATATTCCCTCCACTTGAAAGTTCAAGTTAGAAGGGTTGCACTGTAGGAAGGTTAGACGTAATAGTATTTTATAAAAAATTTTAGAATTTTTAAGATGAATATTATTTTTTTATGCCTAGTAATTTTAAGTAAATTTATAAAATTATGATTTTTTTAAGCTTATCTTCATAATATTCTTTATAAGGTAAATCAAATGTTTAAGGAAGAAAAGTTCAACTTAGAGAGCTTCCACTGTAGTTCCCGACCAAACCTAACCTCATTTTTTTCAGCCCCAAGGAGGCGCCTCCAAAGTGACTTTTTATGGTGATAGACCAACTTACTCGCTTCCGCGGACACTGAAGCCTCATTCTTCGCCCCATCCTCCTGTTCGGCGTCCTCGTTTCCGGATGAAATCGCCGAACCCGTGTCCTGGATCTTTAAGCCGGCAACAACCTTTTCGAGCATCTCCTCCGAGGCGACGGCCACCTCCTTGGCCTTCTGCTTCAGCTCCTGGCCGGAATGGTCGTCCGCATTCTCGTTCGGCATGTTTTGCACTGTATTTCTGTTTGGGTTTGGCAAATTATAATTGCAATGAAATCGCAAAACTACACAAGCAGCTGACTCAAAAAGCAGTGTGCCCAGAGGAGGGGCGAAGCAAAAAGGGTGCAGCTGGAACCGGGTAAAATCCAACCGGTTAAACGTTCGTTATTTTGCAATTTTCTTAATTAACTATAATAATAATAATAATCTTACTTAGGGATTCGTAATTTTTTATTGCTGTTTTTATTTTTCATTTCATATTTGCTCATGATTCTAGCATAAAAATGGGAGAAATCTGTGAAAATTTATTTTAATTTAATAATGGGCTTTTAGTTTAGATGAGAATCAAACTAATTTGAAACTAATATCGGGGCAAAATCATGGGGAAATATGTTTTATTCAAGTTTAAAGCTTTTCGGCTTGGTGAACTTGGATATAGAAATGTCCATATTTTAGTTCAGGCTGGACAGTATCCGTAATTACCTTATTAATTATTCGAATTATCTTTCGAAAGTCTTGATTCAAGACTCTTGAATTAAACGAATGTTTACATCTCCAGTTTAGTTGTGTACATTTTTTGGCGCGTACTTTCAAATAACGGGCGAGCTTTCCGCAAGCTTTGTAGGATTTATCCTCCATTAACTTTAGTTCGCCTGGCCACTCTGACATGATAACATCCGTATTGTTTATATAGTTTCCAACGCCGAACGAGAATGCAATGTGGCGATATCAGTTGCTGATAAGCACTGGAAACCCCGCAACACACGACCTCCTCCGAACGACGACGACGATGACTGCCACCAAGAAGCGCCTGAAGATCGTGGCGGCCGCCTCGCTGGTGCTCCTGCTGCTGGTCTACCTGTACCGCGCGGTCAGCGTTTCTGTGGGCGGCGGAATGTCCTCCATTTCCCTTTCCGCCGGCGAGGCGGAGGTTCAGGCCCGCTGGCCGCCCACCGAGAGTCCGCTGCAGCGTAGCCTCCAGCTGGCCTACGAGGAGCAGAGCGCCCTGATCCGGGAGCAGAAGGCCGAGCTGCAGCGCACCAGGGAGCAGCTGGCGGAGCTAGAGGATCAGATCCGCAGTCTGCAGTCCAGTACGCCGCGCAAGTATCCGAAGGTCAAGTACCTGAACTACAAGAACCGCAAGCGCATCCTGATCACCGGAGGAGCCGGCTTCGTGGGCTCCCACCTGGTCGACGATCTGATGGTCCAGGGACACGAGGTCATCGTGGTGGACAACTTCTTCACCGGACGCAAGCGCAATGTGGAGCACTGGCTGGGGCACGAGAACTTCGAGCTGATCCACCACGACATCGTGAATCCGCTGTTCATCGAGATCGATGAGATCTACCATTTGGCATCGCCAGCCTCGCCGCCGCACTACATGTACAATCCGGTGAAGACCATCAAGACGAACACCATGGGCACCATCAATGTGCTGGGTGGGTTTATACTATATTATAACAGAATACTTAACTGAAATCTTGTTTTTTTAAAGGCCTAGCCAAGCGCGTAATGGCCAAAGTTCTAATAGCCAGCACATCGGAGGTTTACGGCGATCCCACGGTGCATCCGCAGCCGGAAACCTACTGGGGTCATGTTAATCCCATTGGACCAAGAGCCTGCTACGACGAGGGAAAGCGAGTCTCCGAGACGCTGAGCTATGCATACGCCAAACAGGTAATATATCAATCATTTTTCCTAATTCAAAATGTTCTTTGTTTTCTTTTTATCGCTATCATTTGATTTGTTTATCAAACAAAGGTTTCTATATACAACTTATTTAGTCGTTATCTTTCACTTGTCAAATAATTCTAAATAACCATTTAAAACAAAGGAAAAATTAATCAAAAAAGCAAAATAATAGATTCCAGTTAAGGAAAACTAATAATATTAAAAGACAATTCTAAATTACCATGTAAAACAAAGAAAAAATTAATTAAAAAAAGAAAGTAATAGGTTCCAGTGCAGGAAAAACTAATAATATTAAAAGACAATTCTAAATTACCACAAAAGAACAAATTAATCAAAGAAAGAAGAAGTAATAGATTCCAGTTAAGGAAAACTAATTATATTAAAAGACAAATTAAGTTCCGACACGAAACTAACACAGAACCACATTCCTTAAAAGTTAAACACAAAAACAACATTAGCTGGCATCCAGAAATGCGGCAGATCTTTCCTGATTTGATCGGTAGCCCAACCGACCAGTAAATGATCTCAATTGGAATGCCATTAATTGCCTTTCCGCTCCGATGCCTGTCACGAGATAAGATTTTCAATCGCTGACCACATTTCTCGATCTCCACAATCTGGCACTCAAACTAATTGCTCTCGTATTCCATCTGTTTCTCTAGGAGAAGGTGCAGGTGCGCGTGGCGCGCATCTTCAACACCTATGGACCGAGGATGCACATGAACGATGGACGCGTGGTGTCCAACTTTATACTACAGGCGCTGAGGAATGAAACCATCACGGTCTACGGAAATGGCAAGCAAACTAGGTCCTTTCAGTACGTTTCGGATCTGGTGGATGGGATGATAGCCCTGATGGGATCCAACTACACGCAGCCGGTGAATTTAGGCAATCCCGTGGAGCAGACAATCGGTGAATTTGCCGAGATCATCAAGCAACTGGTCGGCGGGCCGAGTGTGATAAAGCAAACGAAGGCCGTGGAGGATGATCCGCAGCGCCGGAAACCGGACATCACCCGCGCCCGGGAGCATCTCCATTGGGAGCCAAAGGTTCCCCTGGAGACCGGACTCCAGCGGACCATCTCCTATTTCCGCAACGAGCTGGCGCGCAGCGACCGCTTCCAGGAGAACTCCAACAAGTACTTCGATACACCGTAAAACCATAAACCCGTAGCATTAATTGGGTCTAGCTTTAGTTGGTGATGATGCAACGTCTCTAGTCTGCAACTGTAAATATGACCATCGATAGCACTAATTGTAAGCCTTGAGGACCATGGTTCTATCTAATTAATAGACGTAGTGATTGTTGTAAGAATTGGGGAGCCAATGATGTACAAATGCGATCAAATTTATAGCACTTAAACTGGGAATTTCATATTAGGTATCAGAAATGCACATTTATTCAAATCACATTTAAATAAACTTATTCGTAATTATTAGAAAACCCAAAGTAAACAAAGAATTATCAATGAGTTCTAAACAAAAGTTAGTATTATTTTTACAGTGCTATTTTATTTGACCGCAATTGTACCGCATAAGGAAAATCACTGGGATACATGAAACTGACAAACAGTATAATCATTTGTATTCAAACTACTACTACTGTACTTTAAAAAGAGCCTAAAAGTTCCCACGTTTCATCAGAAGGTTATGGATCGCATATCGAAACCAGTGAGAATTGAATTGAACAAATTAGAGGAGAACTGTGACTCATTTACAACACCCCGCGATTCTAGAATTCTAGACTTAGGTAGGCTTTTGAGTTGCTGTAGTTGGTAGGCCATTAAAAAGAGTTTTTTCTCTGCGAACTTATCTTACCCGACAAGTATTTTACTATCTATGTACACGGCTTATCCTACGCTTAATCTACGCTAGTATACGTCCAACCTAAGACTATATTTGCACCTTTGCTTATCAGCTAGATCCACTAGATTAATCTGTTTCACCTGGCCAGCGGCTCCAACATCTCGAGGAACAGTTTCTTCATGGTGATGACTTCATCGCGAGCTATTCCCCGCCAGAAACGCCGCAGAATGTCGTCCGCCTGCCGCAGCGAAGGCAGCAGCAGGAGCAGCTGTTGCTGATGCGACACCGCGGACGAATGGCGCAGCAAGTAGACAACATCATTGAGAGAATTGAGTATCGTGTCGCGAAAGGCGCGCAGCGAACTCTGATCATCCAGAAGGATGTCGCAGTTCGCCAACAGCAAGGCCTTCAGCAGGTAGTACTCTTCCCGCCGCGGCGAAATCCTCTCCATGCGCTGCGCAATCTGCACGCAATGGTAGTAGAAATCCGTGTAGCCGCACTCCTTGGCCAACAGCTCATCCATCCAGACGTCCGTGGCGAAGCAGAGTTTGCCATTGAAGGGCAGCGAGCGAAAGGTCAGCTGGAGCGTCAGGATCTCGGCCCACGACACCTGCAGCAGTTTCATCTGGTCATTAAGGGGCAGCTCAATGAAGCCAGGTATCTGCTTGGCCCAGCCTATAACGCTAACCAGCTCCTTGTCGTAAATATCGCTCAGCACGCTGAGTATCTCATTAGGATCATTGTTATTGTTGTTCTGGAAAATGCAAGTCCCATTGGGCGTTACCCCAACGCTGGACTCCAGTTTGATGCTGCCCGAGGAGGATGAGGCCTCATCGTTGGCAATGCTAGTCGTGTGCACCTGCGGCGGCGGCGTTTGGACGCTCAATGCATCTGGTTCATACGAGTTGAGCACCTCCAGGATCTTCACATCGCACAGCGATGTGGTGTTCGATTGGTAGAGCAGCTGCATGGTCTGGTAAGAGTTGGAGACGGGATTCCGCCGGTACTTCTGTCGCCCGCCACGAACTCGATCCAAACGCACGCCCTCCTGAAAAGTCAAGAATATAGTTTAGTTTACAAGTTTCAATCAATGGAATCTCATTAATTACCTTTAGCATGCCCATGAGCAGGCACTTCTGGAAGCGACACGCCTGGCAGGCCTTGCGCCTCCGCTTGTTGATCTCGCACTCGTTGTTCGCCGGACAGGTGTACTCGATGTTGCCCTGGATGGTGCGCTTGAAGAACGCCTTGCAGGCCTCGCAGCTGGCCACGCCGTAGTGGAATCCACTGGCCACATCGCCGCACACCAGGCACAGCCGGCGCAGCTCATCTCGCACTGATCCCGATCCTGTGCCGGCACTTGCATTGCTGGCATTGCCTCCACTGGTACCGCCACCACCTCCTCCTCCACCGCCACCACCTCCACTTGTGCCACTGCCCGCTCCGCCGCCCTTCAGACTATCGCCATCGTTGCTCAGGGATACGTTGTGCAGATCGCAGGACAGGGAGGTCGTCGAGCTGCAGAGCTGTCGCTCCGGGGAAACCGACGGCGAGGACTTCATGCCGTTGGCGCCACTCTGCGTGGCCGTTGACTTTGAACTGGGACTGAAGCACGGGGCTCCGCCGCCGGCCGAAGAAGTGTCCACCTCCTGCTTGATGTGCAGAATGCTGACGCCGTCGGACATATTCGAGCCCTGGCTGTGGGGAAAATAATAGAAGAGTTCGGATTAAAAACGTACTTCATACAAAAACTGTGGGAAACAAATAAACGCTGAGATCTCGGAAACTACAAAAGCTGGAAGGTTGAGATTTTTCACACATATTCTTGGGCTTCCTACGCAGCGCAAGTTTATTTCAGCCGAACGCCACGCCCCCTCTAACGCCCACAATCGCCCACTAACGATTTTAAAATGTGCCAAGCGCCCACACCTTTACAGATTTCCGAGAAGTAAAAATGCAATTTTGTTGCGTATATTTATACCTATTGAAATGTAGTAGACATTTTTTTAATCGGACCATTCGTTAAAAAGTTATACGTTCTCTCTTGTTATATTTAAGATTACCTATTCTTCAAAAAATAATAATATCGTTAAAATTTACTTACAGTTTGAGGAAGAGTATAAGCTCATTAAAAGCTAAAATATCATCGGATTGAAAATACATATTTAAAGATCATTAATGTTTTTGGATTATATATTCACAAATTGGCTATCCTTATTTATTCACAAAATAAAGAACTAAAGGGTTAAAACTGTGGGAACCACGTTAAATTTCGCCAAATCACCGAGATTAGGGATCGCTTTTGCTAAATGTCAAATAGTACGCGCTGCACAGTGGTACGAATAGCCCCAAAAATGGGGAACTTTGAAATTCCAACGCTGTTATCAGCACTTATGAATGGGTTTTCCAAATTCGACCACTGTTCTGGCTAGTCGCACGAAACTTGGTCACGGAATTCCAAATGAATGCAAAATGTAATTGTAATTAAGCCGAGCAAAAACAAAACAGCGGACAGCTTGGTGCAATGGATTGTGATCCCCGATCCCAAATATGTAAGCCGTACCCTTCGCCTGCGTAGAACTTCATCGGTGGTCGTGGAAAAGTACGGAACACAACTGAACTGAAAAGAAAAGAAACCGAACCGAGCACTGGGAGTGCGATAACGGTACTGTGCGTGGAGTACCTTCCAGCTAACGGTACTACAAATCACGACGCACAGTGCTGACATTGATTAGGCAAAAGCGAAATAAATTAAAAACGTAAGGGGAACAATGGGAAGATCGAAGATGGAATTCTCTTTATTTTAAGATTACTAGTTTTGAATAAAAAGTTACTCGTATTATTATTAGCTTTTGATCATAAAAAAAATAGTTTAAATATCAAAACAGAATGATAGATAATAGTACAATTTTCTAAACATTTTCTAAATTTTTAACAACTATTTATTTAATTTTTTATGGATGTCCTTACATGCTTATATGACCAAGAAATTTCGAATTACAAGGCTAATATAAGGAAAACCATCGAACTTTTCTATTATATCATGGTTTTCCACATACTATCTGTAAGGAACTAGTTAACAGATGAAATGTAATGCAACTTTTGAAAGGGGTTTTCATTAAAAGTATGTAATATATTCTAGTTCTAGGCTAATACAAAAAAACTCAACTTTTCTATTATAGAAATTCCGTTTGAGATGGGAAGGATTTTGGGGTCTTCTTTAAAAGTATGTAATATTATCCCAGTTCCCATAAAATAGTGGGAAACAAAGATCGAACACCACCCGTAAGACCCCTAGAAAGTGTATAAAACGCGCGCTGGCAAAGACAATACAATGGGGGGCGCTAGTGGTGTACACATAGTAAGTAGACGGCCGACGACATCAGCCAGGTTGCAGATGAAAGATAAGCACACTTTCCTTATCAGCCCCCGGGAAGCCGTAGTCGCAGCCGCTGCCGAAGCCAGGCGATTATGGCCCAAGGTGGGCCTGTCCGTATCTGTTTACATACTTACATAAAATTGTTTTGAGGATCTTTTGTGTAATCAGCTCTACTTCAGCGCGGGGCAACAACGTCAATACATATCGGCCCCCTCGACCGTCTGTATGTATTTATTTTGGTCCGATTCGAGCACCTTGTTATTGCTTTTGTTGTCGTTTGTGTGCATCTTTCGAAATTCGACACTTTGGTGTTTGTTACTAGTTAGTTTCACAGCTTTTAATTGCTTTTAACTGGGCATCGTGGCCTCTGGCGACCGATTTTAATGCACTTTCCATGCGAATGTGCGAGCGATGCAGACAGCGGATTCTGCATCGATTTTGTGCGTCTGGACTTGGGTTTAGCACTCGGGCAAGGCACGAAATGTGTTTTTGCACAGGCGTACTTTACATTATTGGCACGGTATTTATTGTCTGCCTCCTGTTTTTGCTGGATTTCGCACCGATATTTGCATATTGGAAAGATTAAAATGTAATTTTTTTTTTTTGTGAACCAGACCTGACCAGGGCTGGGCAATCACTTGACTACCAGGGATGCACACTAAAACTAGTTCGCGTTCATGACTCGGTGGTTCCTTTTTAAGAATTATGAACTATTTCAATTAAAAATTCCATTAGAATCTAAAAACAATAATTAAAATGTTAATTACATATATTAAATAACATAAAAAATATGATGCGTTATTTAAAATATGGCTATGTTATTCCTTCATGAGATAATAACTATTAAAGGCAACCATAACAAGGAGTCATTATTAAGTAAACCGTTTTTTTTATGATACGATTTTTAATTGTTAATGGTCGAGCCTAATTTATAAAACGTTCCCATACTTCAGAATATAAAAAACGCAAATGAATGTACAAGATATTAAACGACATGTTGTTGTGACAAAAGGTTAAAAGGCTTAAATGTATACTTTCATTTTGATTTGTAACCTATAGTTAATGAATTGGGAACAAATTTATGGATGTGATTTTTCCCAGTGTAACTACCACCGA